CATTAAAGCGTTTATGCAAAATGGTTGTCAAGCAAGATCCACCGATAAAGCCTTGCATACTCCTTGGTGTCATTTATTTTTGGTTTACGACGGGTAAGTCTAGCTGAGTACATTCTCGTACTCAGGGTTTATTTCCCCCTTGTTGCAGATGACGTGCTCTATAACAGCTACTGCAAGTATTGTCTCCACCCTACTGGGGATGAAGACTAGATCATGGGCATGATCATCTATGTTATCTTATCTTACTGTTTTTGCTGGATATGACTATGGTGCTTGCTTGTATTTGAACTAAGTGTGTGTGATGGTCTCAAACTACTTTGCTTCCTCTATTTGTGAACTTGTTTTGTAATAACTATGTGTACTCTGATGTATGAGGTACTTGCGAACTACTTGTGAAATGGATGTAACATGTGGCTTGTTATGTTGAATTACTGTGATCTTGGTTGTATACAAGTTGGTTTGAAATCTTTCGTGGTTTTAGTTGACTACCGGGTTTATATGGGTTCAAGTATGGTGGTTTGATCACTCCGGTGATTGCTTTCGTACTTGTGCTCTTATAAATTGGTCGGTTCTGTTACAATTATCATAAAAAAACTTAACTATCTATAAAAGCAAGAACATGTTGTCAGGTTAGTATGAACCTTTGGGTATTCTTGGTCGCTAACCATTTCAGGTTAAGATCAAGAAGAACAAGGGACATATGATGCTCGAGAATGTGGGAGCCACATCAACTGAACATCATGATGCTCCTTGGTTATGGAACGAACTCAAAAAGAGATTCTAACCTTACACACTTGACTTTTACACAAAAGTCCAAGTGTGGGGGAAGGTGGTGAGAACATCACTACACGTGTCATTCATACCAAGGGCTATCAAGGTTTGTTGATGTTAACTCTACCTTGCTATAAAAAAATTATAAAAAAAATTGATGATAAATGTTCACCAACTTCTTTAACCCACAATTGTCTCCATTTGAATATATCTTGATCATGCAAATCCATGCCTTCCTTGTTTATGACATATGCTCTGGTTTGGATGCAATCGTGCATGATACATCCATATGCCTTTTTAAATTAATCATGGTGCTTAGGTTAAAATGGTATTCTTTAATCAAAATTAGACATGGTGTTAAATTTTGATTAATGAACTTTGATTAATTGTTTTCATAACCAATGGAAGTAATTTATGATGGAGATGAATCAAGGCTAGGTTTATTTTGCAAACTTTACCCTTAGCCTTGTTTGAGTTAAGCTAAAAAATATAAAAAGTTGGGTGAACAAATAAAACAAATTAAAAAATAATAATAATAGTAAAGAAATAATAATAATAAAATGGTTTAGGCTCCCCGGTGCTCAAACCTGCAGAGCCCTTGTTTGTTTCCTTCTTTGTTTTTCTTTGATTAAATAAACAGGTATAAGAATAAGTGTGGGGGTGATCTCTCATGCATAATGAAAATACATTTGAGATCTCGCACCAACACGTTGCACAAAACATCGAACAATCCAAACATGCTGAAGAACGAAACAATTGGTCCTAGAGAGGATTGGCTGAACCTCTAGTTTAGCCAAACCATCTCTGATTCTCTATAGCTCCTTAATCTTTAACGATAGTTTGTGCAACACTACCCCTCATCTCTCAAAAAATTTGAAATTTAAAAATTGAACAAATTAAAAACACAAAAAAATTGATGCCTAGTCTCCATGTTATCCTTTGACTGAATTTGCATACTCTTTATTCCTAGATAAAATTCCTATAAATTGTGAACAAATCATCATAGGGACCCCATATTATCTAAGTAATTGCAATATGTGATATAGTAGGATGAAAATGAACCTTGCTCTCTTATGCAAAGAACTTGGGATTTATTTTATAAACTCAAGATTCAAATAGCATGCTCCTCAATGATATGCAAATTCCTACCAAAGCCATATCTAGTGATTAAAGCTTAAAACCTCCAAACTTATGCTACTTATTCCTGCATTGAGTTTTGTCAAGTATTGTTGACCCTTATTGAGAAAGTTATCATGCTCCCAAGATCAAGATCACGTAAACACCACAAATATAACCTATTCCTACACTGGGAATACGCTAAAAAACATGCCTCCATCCACCTAAAACTCTGCTCCTACACTAGGAGTAGACAAAAAAAAGTTTGTTAGGCAAATACTCCATGTTCTAAAAAGATAACGACCTCTCTCAAAATATGTGGTTTAGAAAAAGAGACATGGGCTATGCCAAAAATCTTTAAAAAAATTAGGACATATGAAAGTCCCAAAGTATTGAAAAAATTGAGCACATGAAGGCTCATGTATTGAGGAAAAAAATGAGAGAGAGAAGCAATAGCCATGTTCTCAAAATAAAAACTAGACAGAGAGATCATTCTTGTTAAAGAAGTATAATATAGGTTTAACATTATTTTATCCACACACTTGCACTTCTTGATCTATGGGTATGACATCTTTCTCCATGGATCTGAGCTTTGACTTAACAAAATATGCAAAGTAAGTATGCCTTCATATCTTTCCCAACCCAAAGATCCACATAAGCCTTTTAGAAGTAGGAAAGAAAGAGGGCAACACTATGATATGTCTTGGTGAGGAACCAAACACAAATATGAGTGATCCAAGAGAATCATTTGAGGAGCTAAGCTATGTTTACATTTTTAAATCAAATGAAAAACCCAAGTTTCTAAGCTAATTGATGCAACGGGGTTTGAATCCATGTTGTTCCATTATTCAATCACACAAGATAATGTGGTAGACACTTGTAAGAGGCATGATGGGGAAGGGGGCTAGTGGCTATAGTGGAGGGGCAGCGGCTAGGGTAGGACGGCATGGAGGAGGCTTGTGCATAGGGAGAGAGAGGCAGCGGCGCAGGGAGAGGAGAGAGGGAGAGATAGGAAGGAGCAATTGCTCTTCTATTGCTTAGTTTGATTGATTACATCCCCCTAGTATTTATAGTCCCTATTGGACTTAGACTCCAAGCAACCTATTTGAGATCCTTATAGGGTTGGATTCTCCCTTCCATGCTAACCAAACTCTAATTCCATAATCGACCAAATGCTAACCAAACTCTAACCGACTCAATAAGGTAACTCGATGATGATGGCGAGAGCCATCTAGTGCCCCTCCTTGGGCTTTCCTTGGCCTGTTTGCTCTCAGCTGGGATCCCCCTTCATGCGTATGACACCACCGCCCTGCTCTTCTCCACTCAGAGCATCCTCAAGCTGAAGCAGGGTCTAGTCATCGATGCCATCGGGTGGAAAAGCTTGCCTAGGAAGGATAGCCTCGATGCAGCCAAGCATGCGGCCATAAATGGGGGCAGAGATGATGATGTTCCCCCTCGTGCATGTCGACAAAAACTCGAAGTAGTAGAGGAGGTTTCCGATGTAGCCATAGAAGAAGTAGAGGTGTGTGCCCGTGTCCATGCCAGCTTGTGTCGCCTGATGAGCCATGGCCAAAAGAGGTCACAGAATTGCTGCTCTAATGGCTAAGTGTAGCATCTATCTTGGTGGAGGAACAAAGTCATGGATGTAGTTCTCGGTGTTGGGGGCAAGGTAGGCGGGGATGCGACGCCAAACTGTGGCGCTCACGCGTGTCAATGGCGATATCATCAGGTCGAGCATAGTGTCGAACATTAAGTATCCAAAGTCGAATTCGCCTTGTGAAAGGCGATGTTCGGTGGAGCCAGATCATACGGCGATGTGGACGCTGTCGATGTGGACTAGTTGATCGCTTAGGTTGTCAAGGAAGGCGACCATTGCCGACATGATGGGGCACCTTTGTATCCATGGGATTTCAAGTAGGATGCTCATTGGCACTCCATTGTGTTGGCCCCTCGTTGGTGGAGGATGGGCGCCAAGGGCCAGGAGCTCCATGTTGGCCGAACCACCATGGCATAGAACCTACAAAAGGTCAGGCAGAAGCGATGATGCTACCAAAAGGTAGAGGCAACCCTCGAAGAAGATGAGGCCTTGATCAAGTGACCAAGCCAGGGCGGCCACGCCATCTGCTATGGCCATGGTGATGGTGCGGAGCTCCTGTTGCCGAATTGTAGCTTGACGTAGGTGCTCGAAGATGATGTTGGTCGTGTTAATGTAGTTAAGGGCATTGGGGTGGTGAGCTCGACTCTCCTTGCTCAAAATGTTGTGAGGTGGTGGTGGTGCCGTCCATGTTGCATGCTCGATCGGTGGAGGTGCTGGTAGGGTGAGGACTATAGCTGGAGCATGTTGTGGTTGCGCGGTGGTGAATGTGAAGGGGCGCCCGTTGCCAATGTACTGGAGTCGCATGGTAGTGAAGTCCTAGGTTAGGCGGCCAAGACCAGCCAACCAAGGTGTGCCGAGGATGATATCGATGTCGTTGCTGATGTCAAGGGGGTAGGCGTTGAAGTAGAAGATGTCGGCGTTGATGCGAAGTTGTATGCCAAAAACTGTAGCACGGCAGGGAACCTTGTTCCTGCTACTGACAAGTATGGCAGTGTTGATGCATTGTTCTTGAAGGCCAATGAGGTGGGTGATGTTGATGTTGATGATGTTATGTGTGGCGCTTGTTCAATGAGGATGTGGACACCCATGCTAGATACCACCCCTATTAGGTACATTGGGGTCGGCCATGGACCGGGGGGTGATCGATCCTAATGATCATGACCAGGCTGTTGTCGACATTAGTGTTGTTGTCATTACTATCGTTTTCATTGATGGCCGTGATGTCGAACAAGTGCTTACACTTGTGGCCACGCATGAAGGGTTCATCACAGTTGAACCAGAGCCCAGAACATCATCATTTCAGCATCTCCTCGGTGGTTAGATGCTTGAATGGGCGCGGGGAGCTGGTGTTGAAGCCATTGTTAGTCATCGAAGTTGGTGTTGAAGGGGGCACCTTCAAGGGTAGTACCCATAGCATCGGCTTGGTGGCAGGTACCTTGATGGAGTTGACGATTACCACGAGACGTCGTTCATATGCCCTCACCAAGGACATGGCCATCTCCATGTCTGGTGGGTTCTAGAACTCGACATCTATCTTCAGGGGTTCTAGGAGGCCGGCGGTGTACATGTTCACTTGTTGTTGTTTGTTGAGCAGCCCGGCACAAGCCACGTGCGCCATGAAGTGCTTGGTGTAGTTGTCGATGGTGCCTATCTTGTAGAGGGAGGCGAGCTCGATGAGGGGGTTGCGCCATCTAGGGGGGACAAAGTGCTCTTTGATGCATCGAGCAAAGTACGCCCAGTCCATCACCATCTTGTCTTGCATCAAGTGCATGTACCACTGCTGTGCGCCTCCTATCAGATGGTAAGATACATACCAGACTTGCTTCATTTCTAGAGTCTTTTGGCCTTAGAAGAACTACTGTAGTGGTTGATCCATGGTAATGGATCTTCTTTGCCATCGTACATGGGGAAGTTGAGCTTGTAGAGGCATGGCATGAGGATGGGGAAGGAGCCTGGTAGGGTCCCCTAGTACGGTAATGGTGGGGGTAGATTGATCTTGGGGGCCTCCATTCTGTTGAGGTCATGGAATAGCTTGCCCTCTAGGTAATGGAATAGCTTGTAGAGGCATGGCACTCTATGCAATACCACCATGGGCTAAGTCCAGGAGATCATGAGAGGCAGCCCAACAAAATTGGACTCAAGGTGGCCCACCTAGGGTGCGGCCGCACCCATGGTGTGGGAGCACCGCTGGTGTTGTGCCTCAGGCCCAACCTTGCTAGGTCAGTTCATACCGCCTCTCCAAGGATGGTTCACAGGGTGATGGCCAAGTTCAATGTACCTATAACATCGGTTTGCACTTACCATGAGGAGAGGAAGCACTTTTCAAAGACCCGCCCTCCTCTCCACCTATAAAAGAAAGCCATCCCCTCCTCATTTTTACAACACCTCAAGGCAAAAGCTATACCACAAGAGTATCACTCCAAAGGGCTTAGACCCTAGCTAGCTAGTACACTTGGCCCGGGAGAGATGTGAGGGAGAGTGTGTGGAAGCTCCGAGCTTGTCGGTGTCTCCCCAAGCTTGTACCTCGACGAACACTTATGCCTCAAGGGAGCTTTCTTCTAAAGTGAGTGTTCATGGTTCTTGTGGCATTTAGTCCTTTGAGTAGTTAAGCTCTACTCTTAGTTGTTTGCGGGTTCGTCCTCTGTCCCCTTGGTGGATGCTCTAGTAGAGGGCCTTGATAAAAATGAATAACCTTACGCGGACACTAGAGTAGTAGTCGACAGCGTAGACATGGTGTCTAGACTATAGGCTACCTTCATTTGTCTCGTGCTCCTTGGTTGAGGGGTGGGCAATAGGTGGTGACAACCCTATCTGTCTCTTGTAATCCCCCACATACGGGCATAGTTTAGAGCCATAGGCAAGCCTCGCCTGGTAGACCAGGTGTGACCCAGTGCCCGAAGTAAGCAAGTAGGAGTAAAGTTTATCTATCCTTAGATGTTAAAGCCATAGGAATCCATCTCTATCCTGTCCAGTTTTACTCTTGTGTTGTCCTTGGATGACTTATCTAGAAGAAATACCTCCATTCCCTATGGAAATATGATACCCTGAATACTTTCGGGTGAAAGCTACAACGGTAATTCCATATGCTTGCGGATTAACTTCTGTAGACGTCAAGAAATACCAACAGTGTTCCAAATCATGGGAATATCACTTCATGGAACATCTTATTGGCATGCTTGGAATCAGCAGCTCGACATGGTAATGCTTCAACCAATTTGGACACATAGTCCACCACCACCAATATGTATTCGACATCTCTAGACTTTTGTAGCACCTTGGGTGTTAAGCTTGCATTTAACCTTGGCATTGCATGAGCACAAGCATCATTGATCATTCATGAGCATGAGTATTTCAAATATAATCTCTATGTTTGCTTATATTGCATGTGTTGTCTCTAAAATGCTTTACATACGCTAGGGTTTATATGTAACCAATGTATAAAATGTGTGTGGAACCTTAGGAATACCATAAACATGTTTAGAATGTCACTAGGAACAACTTTGATATTCATGACTAAGGCTAGTTTGGTCTCTAAGTCATAGCTATAGTGTAAATCATCATTTTCAAGTTGTATGTTTGACTGGAGTTGAACATCACTTTAGAAACTTTGTATGGCTGTGTACCCTAAAACAAAGTTGTAGAACTAAAGTAGTGTAACAACTTTTATTTTTGGGTCATAGGCTAGTTCAGCTCAGAACATGCTTGAATTTGGATCACAAAAATCAATTCAGTGCTGTTTTTCAAACTTAGGAATTTTTCTAAGCCATATTGAGTTTACAGTTTCGTCGTGGCTGACTTTGTGATGATTTAACTCCAAAACCATTATGAATTAGGAGATGGTTTCTAAAGCAATGTTGTAGCCTTTACATAGCTCTACAAATTTTGTTTTAACATCATGCACCAATTCGTCGTGGATTAAGCGCAATACCATCGTTATTTTGCTTTGTCAGTCGCTGATGCTGAGCCTGATGACCATCGCGGTCAGGCCGTGGGTGGCTGACCGGTCACAGCGCATGGCCACCGCATGGCCACCACTGGTCGGCGTCGGGCCCCCATCATGGTCGGTTGGCGAGGGATAACAGAGAAGCTGCGCTACCCATTTCGCTCACTCCCTCGCGCTCTCTCCCTCTCCACTACTCTCTCTTAAGTGCACAGCGGGAGCACCGAGCGCCGCCGCATCACCGCACTGCTCTGCCGCCGCGTAACTCCTCAGCCGCACAGTCATTCCTCGATTACTTGCGCATGTAGATGCGCCTTGTTCTGCTCTATGCCCTTGTCATGTTTGCAGCCCTGTTCGAGCCACGGTGAGGGCAGAAATCGCCGTTCTTGACCTTGCCGGGATCTCGGCTTCCATGGCTGCCTTCAGGGCGAGCTCGCCGCTACTCGGCTCCTTTGCGCATTCCTTCTTCTTCTTCATGTTAAAGCTTGGTTAGGGTGTGTCCTAGCTTCTGGCATGATGCTACGGTGAATTGTTGCCTCGTCGGCGCGGAACATGACGCACAGCGCCGCCGCGCTCTCGCTGCCGCACCACCGCACATGCGGATAGACCTCGTCGGCGTGTCCCACCTAACCTAGGTAGCTTCGGTAGGTTTGCATAGACACCGCAGAGCCCTTGCACTTCTCAACGGGCCTTGTCGTGGCCCATAGCGGCCGACGTACCTCCGCGCAGCGCCCCCGTGCCACCATGGTCGGCGATGAGCATGCTCCGGTGCGTCCGCGCTGCCACCACCGGTACCAGTCGACGCCGATGAGTGAGGAGAGCACGAAGGTGGGGTCGGTTTCGCCGGAGAGTTCGCCGTCGGTGAGCTAGCGCCGATCAAACCTGAGCCCCTATTTTGGTTCACTGACAGTGGGGTCCGCTGACTGCTGGGTCCCGCGTGTCAGCGACTGCAGTTAGGGTTTAGTTTTATTTCTTTTCTAGATTTTTCTGCTAACTTTGAAAAATGATATCTTGAGCTAGGAGTGCCCAATTTTGGTGAACCAAATTTTGTTGGATTCCTTATGAAGTGTAGTATTTTATAAAAATATAAAATGTACTATTTCTAGTATTTTTCTAGGTGAATAAAATGTAGATAGATAAGTACTTTTTGAATGTTTGCAATCTTGTAAAATGGATAACTTGAGCTAGGAAAGTGATAAAATTGTGATTCTAATTTTGCTGATCTTGTGTTGACATGCTCTAACTAGTAAACTTGATTGAAATAGGACGTTTCTATTTATCTATTAATAAATGGTGTTTTCTGAGGAAAATTATAGGGATAAAAATAAGTAGCATATTGCCATGCAAATTTTTGTACAGTATTATGGCACTAGGATGAAGCTAAGAAAAATATAAAATATGTTGTTTGACACTTTTCTATAGGGTTAACTATTTTCATTAAAATAAACCTTGTTAGCTTGTCATTTTTATAAAGGATGTTATACATGTTCAAATGGAATGAAATTTTTACAGTTGTCTATTGGGAGCACTTGGAAGCTACTGTGATTTTATGAGAATTTATTGTGCACATTTGGTATATGTGTGTTATTTCCCCTAATTATCTAATTAAATTAATAAAGGCATTTAAATAAATAAATTGTGCTTGACCATGATGTTTTCTATGGTACTTGTGATACATATGAACTATTTATGTTAGTAGTAAGGCTTAGAAGCAATTGGTTGTATGCAACTAATTAATTATTGCTTTATAATTCAACTTGAGGGCTGCATGCATAGTTTTGGTTTAGTTGATAATTGCATGGTGATAATGGTATGTTCTGTAAAACTTGTTAATAATAAAGTTGTAGATAACTTACTGATCTACCTTGTGTTAAATTTTCATAGTCATAGGCCTTAAGGTTTAAAAGGTTTGGCTGTTAGAACTTTGCTGTCCGAAATGTTTGCTCTCTGGACAGATTTTAATAACTGAATTGTTTGACCTAGGTAACTATTGAATCGCATCAAGGGTATTAAAAGAAAGTTGTAGACAATTGCATAGGCTTTCCAGAATGTCGACAACCATATTATTTCGATGTATATAACTCTAGTTAGGGTCAAAACAAGTAACTGCTGTCTTGTAGTCCAGTAAATAGATTACAGAAGTGTTTACTTAAGTAATAGAGAGGAGATATACACCTACTCAATAGAATAACATGCACTTGTTATTACTTTAACACCATGCTGTTGAAAATACTTATGGGGATGCATTCATCATGTCATATCATATTATACGTGTCATCATATATGCATTCGTGATATCTTATTCCATGCTCATGCATATAGGATCGACCGAAGAGATAACGCTGTTGGAGTTCAATGAACAAGAGGAAGGGGATCACCAAGATACGCCCTAGGCCACAGCTCCCGGAGAAGAGGAGCAGACTCCCAAAGAGCTCCCTGAGTGCTCGGATCACCGGCCAACCTCTTTCCTCAAAAGCAAGCCCCGGAGCATTATAAGTCTCCCATGTTTTACAAAATACTATTGGAGTCCTTTATATTTGATGCATTAGGTTATATGAGTTGATTGGGAACACTTGATGCATGGAACTACCTTGTCTAGATACATATACCTTTAACCCTGTGTAGGTCCAGGATCGAATATATGCTTAGCCATGCTTAGACCGGTAGAAGTCGAGTGATTTCCTGTCACCTGCGAGATATTGGTGGATACCGAAGCACGGTTGTCTATATTTGCTATCGTGGAAAAGAACAATGGGGTAATGTAAATGGAGGCTAGGCGGAGTCTATGTGTAGGTTGACACATGTGATTC